ATTATGGAGTTCACAGGGTTCTGTACTAGGACCAATTCTATTTACATTATACTTGCTTCCCTTAGGCATTATCATCAGAAGACATAGCATACAACTGTATCTATCCATTAAGTCAAATATACACCAATTAGTTAAAGTGCAGGAATGTTTTAAAGACCAGGTTATTGTACTTGGCCCTGACAATCTTAGAAATATGGTATCTAACCAGATGGCATTATCTTTGCCTCCAGTAACACGGTGAGGAATCTTGGAGTTGTTTTTACGAATATTAAACAGATATGTGGGACTGCTTTCTTCTGTTTGAGCAATATCTCTAAAATGAGAACCATTCTGTATCTGGACTAGTTCATTGGTTCTAGTTTTTCCTTCCCCCTGTCGCCAAAGTGCTTCCTCAAAGGGGGTCATATAATAGTTAGGGTTTTTTATTTTCTTTGTTGAGTCTTTATCTTACAGTATAAAGCACCTTGAGTTATTTAGCACTGTATAAAGAAAAATGAATTGAACTGAATAGCTGGGCCATTAATGTAAAGAAAGAAATGAAAGAAAAGTCTGTCCCTGGTGATTCAGAACAACAGTCAGAGCTTTTTTTTTTTCTTTAAAGGCATCAAGCTGCGTGAAGCCAACCAGCAGCAGCAGTTCAACAGAAATGTAGAGGACATAGAGCTGTGGCTATATGAAGTGGAGGGCCACCTGGCTTCAGATGATTATGGAAAAGACCTGACAAGTGTTCAGAACCTGCAGAAGAAACATGCACTGCTGGAGGCTGATGTGGCAGCTCACCAGGTAACAAGCACTCAGCCCAAATTATGGAGCTCCCATACACTGCTTTGGTGAATGCGACACTAATGTAAATGTCCCCATCAGGATCGGATTGATGGCATAACAATCCAGGCCCGCCAGTTCCAGGAGGCTGGCCACTTTGATGCTGACAACATCCGCAAGAAGCAAGAGGCTTTGGTGGTTCGGTATGAAGCTCTGCGTGAACCCATGGCTGCACGCAAGCAGAAGCTGTCAGACTCTCTAAGGCTGCAGCAGCTGTTCAGAGATATTGAAGATGAGGAGACTTGGATCCGTGAGAAAGAGCCCATCGCTGCCTCTACTAACAGAGGTAAAATCAGACTAATTGTCTATGCAGCTCTAGGAAATTAAAGTTTGTAATTGGAGGTATATACTCATTGAAAGTGATCATTTCAGAAATGAAGTTTAAACTGGAGCCTCATATTTCAGATCACTGGAGCTCCATAAAATGTTTCTCTGACGTTTTTTCTCAGGCAAAGACTTGATCGGTGTCCAGAACTTGCTGAAGAAGCACCAGGCTCTGCAGGCTGAAATCACAGGTCACGAGCCTCGCATTAAGGCTGTCACCCAGAAGGGAGAAGCTATGGTGGAGGAAGGTATTGATTTAAATCCTAAGATTCCTCTGTTATCTTCAGTGAGATGATGGTGATGTTTAAATGCAAGTAAAATATCACTGCAACAGTGG